GCATTCTCCACTTCTTCAGACATTTATTAGGGCAAATCTAAGACACTGAGGGTCGTATTACTGACTGATTTATTAGATGCAGAAACATTAGCATGACCTAACATTTATTTTTTTCCAGAACTGAGAAATCTGTAGATCTTGGCTGGCAGGGCCTCTCTTCTTGAAAACAGGGCCCAGAAATTCAACTCTCAAACAATCAGCTGACCCTATAAGGTCAAGGGGACCTTACCTGACCTCAAGGCAGATGATCCCAAGCCCAGGTAAGAAAATGGTTGTTAATGGTGTCCATGTCTCTACATTAATGTTTTTAATATTGAGCGTGAAGATATTAATTTCCCACTCCAACTTGTCAGACCTAAAAGTGTCAAGTCCACCACGTCAGACAAATGAATCAGGATGGCTTGTCTTAGTCATCTAATTCCCGTATTCACAATGCAAAGAGGTCCAATTAAAATGCGCCAATCAAACATTTCCCTACATAGATTCCACATGACACCAAGTACTTAAAACACTTCTTCCACGAAGGTAATTACTATTGTCTTGTCCTATGGCGCTACTAAATGGGAAAGGCCCTCTCCGCAGCATGTACTCTCTACGCGTCCACCTTTCCGCTTCCAACGACCCGCCCACCGTCGCGTTACGTCTCTCTTCCTGTTGTATTATTTTCCTTTCTTTAAACTCCCTCTTCCTGTGCCTGTGCCGCTTTCCCTCCCGACTCTTACTGGTTTCTCTGCTGGCCACTTATCTCTACAGCCCTCGTTTTAGGCTTCGTCCAGGCATGAGCGCTATCTTCCATTTCGCAAACTTTGGCCGGTCCTGTTATCTTTCCTTCTGGAATCTGCATTGCGATGAGACCCTTCAACTGATAAGAAAATAGAAAGCTGTTATTATTTTCTGTTACAATAATCACTTGAATACATCTTTACATCATTTCATATCTTTAAATAAATGTTTACCGTCATGCTGCGCTGTAACGTTAAGCGTTCGTATTTCCTCACATTCAAACCTACTTCACCCATAAACATTCTCTATACCCTTGTCGTGATCGGGATAAGAACGGATGGCCGACCATCCCATTAAATGTTTAAAAATAATCCCCATTTTCTCCTCTTCCCATCCCCTTCTCCCATTAAGGATACACCTGGCAGCCCCAGGTGTATCCTCCCTCGCACCCGTCCTCGCCCTCCTGCATCTGACTCACCATGACCCACCGCCCGGCGACGCTGAGTGATGTCACGATGAATCAATCGCAGCGTACGTAGGAGGCGGGCGGGGAGGAGGAGAACGATTGCGTCATCGCTGCGCC